CTAAATGTTAGAAAAGCAACATGTGTTTTCTGTGTTATGGTCCAGCTACCATTTTATTAATAATGAATTACAGTATCAAGGAGACTAAAAACCGAACCAGGGCAGAGGATGTTTGGACACGTGGCAGCTGTCATTTATTTCAGTCTAAAACTATAGATTAATTGCGGATAGTTTAATGCTTAGGGAATTATACTGCTTGTAGAAGCTTGTTTTATGACTGGTTAGGGGTTAGGAGACCTCTCTGCACACGGTACAGCACGTTTTCCATCTGTCTGTGTTAAAAATAGGCTTGCTGCAGAGCCATGCTTTATGATAACATTTAGAGTTAGGTTTAAAAAAATCATATCTCAAATACCATGAGAAAATGAAACAATGTTTCGTTCACATTTTAGGCTCAGGATGAGTAGTGAACTCGAATAATGAACAGTGAGACCTTTTATACATTTTCAAAATTCCTTGGGAAGTTTGAATTTTCTTTTTCTGGAGTTTGACTAGAACTAAAACCTTAACTGTGGTAATTTACATTAACAGGCCATGGGACAAAAAGGTTTTCTTTTTGTTGTTTTCAATACAGATTTGTATAACAACTATGTATAATGTTTTTATTGTTCTATTCCTGTAGGAAGCACATGCTTGATTGTTAATCCTCCTCTTGTAAGTCGCTTTGGATAAAAGCATCTGCTGAACGCATAAATGTAAGGTAACTTGTTAGATGCATTGACAAGAGGTAAAAAAGCAAAAAATTGCCTAATGAAATTTTTTCTTAACTGCAACATTGTTATGCAGAGACAAGAATTGACAATGCTACGCGCTGGCTCCAGTGCATACTCTTTAGGTGATGCTGGGGTGTATAAGAGTACAAGATACAAGTTGCAAAATCCCATCACTAAAGCCAAGACAACTGGAAGGACATGTTGCATATCCTGCATCACATTACATAGTACAGAAAGAAGAGTCTGGGGGCCAAAAACAGCTCGATCTCACTGCCAGATGAACAAGTTCTATGCTCATTTTGATCCCATGAACCCAACCACCACAACTCTGGCCACCAAGGACTCACAGGACACATCACCACCACTCTCTCTTTGTCTTCAATGGAGGTGAGACTAGGGTGACAATATCCCCGGGCATGGCTTAGGGCCTGCTCATCGGTTCTGTCAGATGTCTTTACAGATGTTTTCAACTTCTCCTTGGCCCCGAGCGTTCATCCCCACCTGCTTCAAGTTCACCGCCATCAGTGGCGTGGTGCCTCACATCAAGTCATGCCTCACCTTAAAAGGGCCATTCTGGACACACTGTACCCTTTACAATTCACTTACAGAAAAAAAAAACGGTCCCCTGACGACGCAGTAAACACCGTCATTCACACAGCCCTCGCACACTTAGAGGGCAAGGACGCAGAATGCTGTTTATTGACTACACCTCCGCATTCGACACGGTAGCTGATAAACTCCTCACCGTTGGACTGGCACCCTCTCTCTGCAATTGGGTACTAAACTTCCCAACAGACAGAACCCAGTCATTCAGAGTAGGGCACCGGACATCAAGCACTAAAATGGTCATCGGCCTGATCACGGGGGAGTGTATACGGCATTTAGTGAAAGGATTGGTGGCTTGGCATGAGGACAATAATCTCTCCTTGAATGCAGAAAATATCAAGGAGATAAATATTGATCCCAGGAGGAGGAAGCTGCAGCATGTCTCAATAGGCATTGGTGAAACAGAGATGTATGAGGGTGAGATCCTTTCAATTTCTCGGAGGAGGATCTCACAACACCCAGCAGCTCCTGAAGAAGTCACAGCAGAGGATGGACTTTTCTTAAGACGGCTGAGGAAATTTGGTATGTTAACCAACATCTTCAGCAACACCTCTACAGTTAAGAGCTGCTCTTTTCAGAGGGTGATAAAAAATGCCCAGAGAATCTCTGGCGGAGAGATTTGCAGAACCAGGATCATAAAGAGGGCCCACAATGTAATAAAAGACAAGTTGCACCAACACCTTCCCATGACTTCAGGAGATTTGCAGAACCAGGGTCATCAAGAGGGCCCACGATGTAATAAAAGACAAGTTGCACCAACAACACAGTCTCTTCACACTGACACTACAGTGTGAGAACAAGAACAAACAAGAGTGATCAACAGCTTTTATCCACAGGCAATCAGACTATTGAACACCCTCCACTCCCCAAATCCTCTCTGACCTTTAACCCATAACCAAAGTGCTCGAACCTGAAGCCTTCCGGACCCAAGTCCGCTTCCTTAACCGCTAAGCCACCACTGCCCCCAATAAGTATCACGGCTGTCTAAGCCAGGATTTGAACCCTGAACTCCTGCACCACAGTCAGAGGTGTACTCATCTGGGCTCCTCTGGGGCAGTGGTTGTTTCGTGGCTAAGGAAGTGGACTTGGGTCCGGAAGGCTTCAGGTTCGAGTCCACCAGCTGCCAAGTTACCACTGAGGTGCACTAAGCATGGCACCATCCCCGGGTGCTTAAAGCTGCCCACTGTTTACCTTGGTGATGGGTTAAAAGCAGAGGTCACATTTGGTTGCGTACAGTGGTGTGCTGTGTCACAATGACAAGTAGTTCCCTTTCCTTCCTTCCTAAAGCGCCACAATTGGAATAAATTAGCCTCCCTGTTGGGGAATTGAACATCGGTCTCCCGCGTGACAGGCGGAGATACTGACCACTATGCTAATGAGGACTTGTACGAGCTTATGAGGAAAGGTTCTGTTGTCACTTTATGTCAAATTCTGCTGCGCACAGATCACTTTACTTGTTTTACAATTTCATTTTGTCTGGAAATGTTTTACAAGTGACTGGCAAAAAAACGGATTAAACGGTGGTGTAAAATGAATATCTGATAATAATATCGTAAAGGAGGCCATTATTTTTAAATTCTCCATCTCGTGTGCCTGAAAACAAAATGTGTCTATGTTTTGTGGTGGGGCGCAAACCTTTTTTTTAATGAACCAAAGAAGGGCTCAGCACAGAAAATTTAGGAACCACTGGTATAGCCTTTGATGACTGCCTTGTTATGTTTATTCTTTGATGTGTTGCTATTTTGTGACACATGTCGATGTGTTGGGCTGTAAGGGGGATTGCCACATTCAAAGACAAAACACTATTTCCTTAGACTTATGTCTTTACCTCTGCTCAATTTAAAAGGCCAAAAAGAAAAAAATAAACTCATTCCCAATCTTCATGTTTTTGAATCAGAATACTGAAGGAGCTAAAAGCACTGATTTTTCTCTATGCTTGGTTTCCAAACCTAATTTACCATTTCTATGTGATCCTGATTTTCTTTTAGAACAGGCCAAGATGTGCTCTTTGGCCCAGAGGCAAGGTCTCTGTCATTGGTATGGAACCCCAGGGTTCCCCTCCTGGGCAAGTTCTAATCCCGGAAAACCTTCCAGTGGACTCACCACCCGCAGGAAGGTTTGGGGGGGTTGGTACGGTGCAATGTGATTTGGGTGGCGACTGCTGCCCCCGCGACCCGGTAATGGATAAGCGGATGAAAATGGATGGATGGATGGATGGATGGAACAGGCCAAGATTACCTTAGCAATCAGAGCTTTCCATACCATACAGCCACTTTTGATGAACCATAGCGATCTATTTGTGTTGCTGCTACTAATTTTGAAGTTATGTGAAAACAAACCAGAAGGGAAGAATACTACAGGCTAGTAGACTATAATTAATATCACACTGGGCTAGTGTTTACTCATGTCGGGAAAATACTGTACGGGGGCTAGTTGTATTCGTCAAACAGTTGAGGTAGATTGTTAGGCAGATAAGCTCAAAATCTACTTCAAACAAATTCTAAGAGACAATTTTTTTTTTTTTTTGCAAATTTGGAAATCCACTACAAATGGTCTTTTTCTTCCTATTTGGGGTACTATGACTGTCAGTCTGACCTGGGCAATAATTTGACAAAAGTTGTAAGTGTTCAGTGTGTTACAGGGGTCTCTCTTGGCTGTGTATTTAAATATTTGACATATTTGGCAACGACCAATCACACACTGGCTTAGTACATCATCATATTAGGCCCGAGCGGGTTTGCGCCCAAATCTATAACTACTGTAAGTGTTCTGTGCCTGAACACAGCACACTTGGCACTTGGCACGGTTGGAAGAGGTATGCTAAAGCACGGTACGCTTGGTCACACATGCACACAAGCATGGTATCTTATGCACACAGCATGATTGACTGCTTTACGCCACCTAGCAAAGTAATAAAATCCAGACATTGGCAAGGGCTGACTATTTTAAACCTAGTTCACAAAGAACAAGACAGTCATTAAAGTGGTAGAGTAGAGTAGAGTAGGGCTAAAGTGGTGTTGTTTGAATCACTCTCGATCACACTGCTTTAAGTTGTCTGAATCACTCTCGATCACACTGCTTTAACCGTGTATAAACAAAGGTCATGGACATATGCATCAGGCAACGGCACGCTTGCCTACTGGGCAATGTTAGTGTGGACAGTGCTTCAGTGCAACAAGTTTAGGCCAAAAACAATGTTTGTATCTGTAGGATTATGCAGAAAAAGTTACGACTGAAAACAATGACATCAAATTATTATATTTCCCACTTATTAACCATGTGAAAATGGTTGAATGTAACATGTATGGTACGTTAAAATACCCAGGCTAATATTTAGCAAATTTTCAATGACATTTTCATGATTTAGAGCAGCGGTCCTAAAGCTGGATTGTGTTATGTTACCACTTGAGTTGTAGGGAATCGGAGCGGAAGTTAGTTCATATAGATTGGTTTCTTATTGTAAGATTAAAGTTGTGGCTTTTTAACGTATGGGTTAGCGAGACATAAGGTAGCGAGCGCTGAATTAGCCAAGAACCATAACGAGCACAGCATGGCAATTGTTGATCTACTGTGGCCACTGTAAGAATGTAAAATTATTTACCTAATGACTTTGATGTTCCAATTTCTTCATAGGTTAAAGTTTATCTGGGGGTTCGGGGGGGGCATTAAATACTGATGTAAACATTGTTTATCTAATGACTTTGATGTTCCAATTTCTTTATAGGTTAAAGTTTATCTGGGGGTTGGGAGTTGGGGGGGGCATTAAATACTGATGTAAACCTACGACCTCACGGACTACACAGTTGATTTCAAGAAACGTATCAGCTTTGCGTGTGTGTGTGTGTCTTAGTATGGCACATTGCCCTAGTTTAAAATAACCCTAACTATGATTTTACACAAATATACAGGAGAAAAACATGCATTAAATGTTAGAGATTGGTCCTTTGAAGTCACATAACTGATAAAACAAAGGTCACGTGATGCCTGACATCACGTCTTACGTCACAATTTTCAAAGTGCGATACAAAAAAAAAAAAAAATTAACTTACATAGCAAAAAAATGGATGACTTAAGTAAATCACTGAATTAAAAATACTCTCATTTATCTATATTCCTTGTCTCCCAAAAAGATCGTTTCACATAAGTTGTCTCAGCTCTCTACAGGCACTGTGTGAAGTTGTGTCTACTTAAGGCAGAATTTTTTTTTTTTTTTTGCGCTGATAGTGATGCAATGCCTGGACAGTTGACCACTTAGTTCTGCACTGTGATGCATAAACATACATGTAAGGCAACCTGTGGGTATTGTGGATTAGGCTTTAGAAGCAAACACCAAATAAGGGTGGAAAAAACACAATTGTAGAACCTATTCATCCAAACTGTGCGTGTAATACAGTCTGGCCATGTTGTAATTAAGACAGAAGTGCTTAAAACATGTGTTACTGGCATCGTCTCAGTGTTAGCCTGCCTGTTTGCGTGTGATTGTGTGCATCATCATGTGTGTGAGGTCTGATTTATACTCTGTCGCTCAAAACTTTTAACTCGCTCGTAAAAATTCATAGAAATGGTCTTAGCCATAATGTTTTTTTACCATCAAGAAAAGTGAATTAGAACAAAACGTATTGTTATATTCCCAAAAGGTTCTGTAATTAATTTTATAATTGCTAAATCTGCTATCTATACATAAGCATATAAATGCACTTGGCATTCACTCTCTGTTATCCCCTTGGCTTTGCCCTTTTTAATGCCTTTTCCTCCCAAGGGGTAATAGTTGAAATGAGTTGGTCTGTTTGGCAGTTCATATAATCAAAAGCGCAACAACGATAATATTTTTTGGTCTGAGTCTGTTCGTTAAATACCAAACCTTTACATAAAATCTAATAAGCAGCAAAATACCACTGTGTCAGCAACACAAGTTATAAGTATTTAACGGCAGAGCATCAACCATGAGTTAGAGTGCATGTGTGCTGTTTGCAGTACATACTAGACTACTGAAAAGCCTGGTGGAAGCGGGGCAGGATGGTGGGTGTGCTCAGGTTGGATATGAAGGAGGAGGGGAGCCCCTGAAGTGACGTTTCCTCACCGTCCTGGGCCTCAGAGGACTGACTGGGCAGCTGGACCAGAGGTGTGGTCTCATCTGTAGATTGAAAGGAGGACGACCCCTGCCCACCACTACCTACTGTCTGGTTGTAAGGAGGACCGTTTAGAGGCAGGAAATTAAAAAGTTGGGAGAAGTCCAGCAGTGAGGTGGAAGAGGCCAAAGAATCTGTCGTGGCTTCTCCTGCCGTCGATGTGGAGATTTTAGAGAGAGACACCTCCTCACTCTCCATCTCGCCCACTGGAGGAACCAACTCGAGTTTGGAGGAAGAATGTTGGGATTCTTGGACTGCAGAGGATGAGGAAGGCATGCTGCTCTGTAGCTCCATTAGGTAGGTCTCCAGGTCTCCCTTCTGATTTTGTTCTCGCTCCTGCGGGGAGATGGTGTATGAGGTAAAGTTGGAGTCCAGCGAGTATTTTAGAGGGAAGGGATGCGTGGGCGTGGGAAAGGGTTCTGTATCCAATATGGGGCCTGTGTACATGCTGAGCTGATGTGGTTTTGGTGTCAGCATTCCCGTGAGCTCCCCTTTGATGTCCCCAGATGCCAGGTCGTAAGCGATAGGTTCCAGCAAATCGGCTGGCTCAGTTTTTACCCTCAGCAGCTCCTGGGGGTGGCTCTTCTTCATGTGACGCGTCAAGTGGTCCTTCCTGCCGAAGCGCTGGGCACAGTACTGACACAGAAAGTCCTTGCGTCCTGTATGTACTACCATGTGTCGCCGGACATCTTTGCGTGTGTAAAACTGCCGCTCACAGTGCTCACAGCGATGTTTTTTCTCTTTTGCCGTGCCCGAGGATTTGCCAGCGTGTGTCTTGAGGTGCTCTAGAAGAATCCCGGTGCTAGGAAATCGTTGCAGGCACACTTGACAGGTGAGTTCTCCCCTGTTGGCAGCGTGAAGGGCAAGGTGGCGTTTAAAGCCCAGCTTGGTGTTGTAGCTCTTTCCGCACTCCTGACAGGTGAAAGCCTCCTTGTATGGGTCATGAGTGTGAAGGTGATTCTTTAAATGATCTTTGCGGTGGAACATTTTCTCACAGTATGAACATTTGTGGTTTTTTTCTGGTGAATGGGTTGCCATATGCCTTGGAACATAGACACATTAAAGAGCACTAAGAATGGTTACCATAACATTTTGAAATGCATGCGTTGCAGTATTACACAAAAGTTAATCAGTTGTCACTAAACGTCATCAATGAATAACCAAATAAATAAATACAGAGAAAAACTGAAATGTGCAAGCTGTTATGTACCGTAGCAGCTTGTATTTGGAGACGAAAGCCTTGGTGCAGTCGGGGTGGGAGCAGCTGTAGGGTCTTTCTCCTGTGTGGGAGTACGAGTGCACCTTCAACTTCTCCAGACTGTTGAATGCCTTCTGACACTCCTGGCAGGGAAAGTTCTTCTTTGACTTCCCCTCTGCTCTTCTGCACCTCCCTGTGGGTGGTGTGAGCTTAGCTTTGTCCACAATGTCGTCACAATGGCCCTGGGTTCCTGTGGCCATGGCACCTTAAGGCAAAGCTGCTACATGAATGGGGATACAGTGCCCAACAAGGACTGATGCAGATATTCTATCCAGTTTCATGTGCTCATCACTGCCTGGACTCAGACGTCTGTGAGAGTGAAGGAGAGAGAAGAGGTCAGTGTTGTTGAAAAGGTAAATGTCATCAACTGTTACTTCTAACTACCAAGATATTTCAATAAAATTCCACAAAAAAAGACAAAACACTACACTGTCATTATTATCCAGACCACAGTTGTCAAATAGGTAGATCATGATCTGCCACTACTGTAGATTGTAAATGGGCCGGTGATGGATCACAAGCAGTTAAAATGAAAACAGTTTTATCCTCCATATACCAGTACCGACTGCAACGGGATCATCTGCTCATGTAACCACTCCAGCATTATATAAGAATTCCACCACTGCACAGTCACTTTGAAGTGTTTTTTTTTGTTTGATGCACAACTACAGCCACTACAGTGTAGTCACTATCAACAGAAATCACTGTCTGTACTATTTACAGTTAAACAGTTGGTCACTGCTAAAAGTCCCGACTGTACCCTAAATATCACCCTACGATTGGATCTGCCAGTTTCTTGCTAACGTACATATGTTCGACAATCCCTGCTTGTAAAAGCTACTTGCAACCTGCTGGTTGCACAGGAGAGAAAGCAGTGCGTGAATCTGCAATTGCAAATGTAGGTTGTCAACATGTTTGTCACTTGTTATGCCTGGGGCACGTCACCCCCCCACCAGAGGTGGGACCAAGTCATTGCTTTGCAAGTCACAGGTAAGTCTCAAGTCTTTGCACTCAAGTCCGAGTCAAGTCTCAAGTCAAGACAGGCAAAGTCCAAGTCGAGTCCAAGTCAAGACTGAAAAGTGTCAAGTCAAGTCCCAAGTCCTTTCTGTTTCTAGTTCTTTTCAAACAAAACAATATATTTACACAGATCACTTTGGGTTTTGGAGAAAGTATCGAGTCTTGACGAGTCAAAGGGCTCGAGTCCAAGTGTCACTGATGTTAAAGTCCAAGTCGAGTGGCAAGTCTCTTTCCATTGTGTCAAGTCGAGTCTAAAGTCATCAAATTGATGACTGGAGTCTGACTCGAGTCCAAGTCATGCGACTCAAGTCCACACCTCTGCCCCCCACCCACCCCTACCTGCACACACACACACACATCCCTGCACTTTTCTGTACTATTCTATTTTTTTTTTAAAGTAAAAGATTAGTCGACTAATCATTTCAATAACTGGTCACTAATTGACAATTTAAAAGGTTGTTTGTTGTAGCCCTAATATATACATAAATTGTGTTGAGTTTAAATGGGTATATATATATTTCATGTTTTCATGTAAGTAGATCATTTGAAAAGTAGATCCCAGGCCAAAAAGTGTAACATTTAGGGAGATTTTACAATCAGTCCTTTCTGTGAATTCAGCCATGTTGTGTTCTTCCTCTAAACAAATTGGCCACCTGATAAAAATAAAGGTAAAAAATATGAATAAAAATAAAAATAAAATCAATTCCATGAACCCTTTTCAGGGTGTTGAGTCTTGAACCGGTAAGCCTGAGCAGTTCCTTTAATGTAATTTATGATCCTGTGTGTCCTGGTCACATACAACAAAAAACTAGGCGTCTGAAACTCTACTCTACTCTACTGTCCATATCTGCTTTCTGTCCTAGAGAGTGTGCTCTCCGAACTATTTTTCAATGCAGGTTGCACTATTATCCTGTAGATTATGCCAGTCACTCATGCTGCTATTCTTTTGTCAAATGTTTCTCCTGGTACTCGCTGTCATTGATTCTACTCTGCCCTCACACACAGTTCATTTGGTTGGATGGCTGATCAAAGATACCTTAACCCATCTACCTTTGCTACCTTTTCCCTTTGCAGCTTCATCATTCCTCCTGCATCACTCTCGCTACAACACAATATTAGCATCGGGTAGCTGTTACGATTTTGACTAAATTGTTGGATCGAGCCACTGACCGAGTTGGTGGTTTCAAAGTTTAGCAGTTTGCCTTGCAAACAGAGAGTTCTGGGTTTGATTACAAGAGGAACTACATACTTGGCGCCTCCAAGGGGCAGCCTGTTGCAGCAGATCTGCAGTTAGCACAAGAACCCCCCACTGCTGTTTTTTACACTTAGAGTCAAGGTACAGTTTGTGTGTAAACACATATCAGGAAAATGAAAGGTGAACCTTTAGTAGAGAAATCTGGAGGTCAGATCTGGTCAACTGTCACTTTCCAGTTTTTCTGTGTGCACCAAATATTTACATATACTTTTTTATTTCTGTGTTTTTATTTTCTTTGGTTACTTAAGAATAACATAAGATTAGTCATGGGGGTACATGACTTACGTCTATTCCTGTGGCATGTAAAATAAGTGGCCAAGTAATTGCCAAGTAACTGGCTGCCGCATGTGCCAACTACTTCCCCTGCAAAATTTCTTTTAATGCCGTCCATTGGAATGATGGAACAAACTCTTCTTAATAATCTAATCTATGTGACATGGTGACATAACTATGAAACGCCATAGGTTGTCGTAAAACCAAGGACCCTCTATATTCAGAATTACACAGGGATTTTACTTATGCCTATGTAAATGAAGCATTACATGCTAAACAAATGTATATTTAATGAAAATACACTTAAATACTGGTAAACAAAGCACCTCTTCCTTTGTACAGCATATATCCACCTAACAGTACATACTGTATTTCATATAGTAAAGCCACCAACTTCATTAAGGAGAGCTGAAGTCAAGAGTACAGACCATTCATCTCTTTCTAAGGTATCATACTATCCGGCAAAACATCATGGATATATCACAGATCATGACTGCATGTCAATCTTTTAAATGAGGAAATATTTTTGGCTATTTATAGATGACATTGACGAGAAGACAGGTTGATAATGGTTTTCACAATATGACAATCTTTGGGACCACTTATGACGCACCAAGAAATGCAAGATGCTGGTATTGTTCCATGCTCAATAGTGAATACTACAGTGTAAATAAAACAGGAAAGAAAAGGGGAAATGTTTACAAAGCAAACTAACAAGGCAGCCCCTGGTGGGTAAATTGGTACTTATTTTAAATTATGTAATCGACTTTTCAAAATGTATTTTTAATCTCTCAGGGAATGAATTGGATAAAGCATGAAGAATAAATCAAACAAATCATGTGGCAGTCAACTTATGGCATATGCAGGTTTTATAGTAGAGGATAGTAATTTATATACAGTATATGCCAACCACAATGACAAATCACAAACTGCAACATTTACACAAACTGGTGCATCAAATACTTTTTTAACTTAACGTCTTCGATTATCGACTAATCTGACAGAAAACAAAATCGAAGTTGAGAAGATGACTAATTTCATGATGTCATCACACTGACAGATGAGGCATTAGACATACACAGATGTTCAACAGTGATCATGTAACTCTCCATACATTACTTTTGTAGCTTTTAATAATAAGATAAGGTAACACAGCAATTGTTTTTTCTATCGGCGCAAAGTGAGATGTTTCGAGAGGTCGTCTACTTTTTCAAATCAGTTTCTGATGCCCCACAAATGTTTTAAATGATATCACAACCATTGTTTCCATGAAGTTAAAAATTTGTTAAAAATTGACTAAAAATTGCCAACTATATCAACATGACGACTGGTCGATATCATTCATTCTTTGAAAATGAATGGGTTTGCATTTTTAACATCATCAAGTACAAAACACAGGTACATCACCATGACCAGTAATAAAAGTCAGTGAAGACTACTGCAGCCAAAACAAACTTTGCAGGGCCACCTATAACATATCCCCTTGACACTGTTTTTCCAGCTGGGAAAAAAATATTCTAATTTATTTTATCAACATTTGTATACCTATATGTACATTTCTTTCGCTGCACTGTATGCCACAACAAATTCCTTGTAGGTGAAAACCTAACTGGCATTAAAAAAAAATTCTGATTCTGATTCTGAGTTGGCATTAAAAAAAATTCTGATTCTGATTCTGAGTGGTGGGTCCGTAATGAGGGGCGTTCAGTTACCATAGGAAATGCAAGAGACATTCATGTACCATCGGAAATTTGAGAATTGTAAGAAATGACATGATCTGGAAAACAAAATACTCACTGGACCTTACATCTATTGAACAACAATGATGGCGACAACAACCTCCATCACTGATCCGGTGTTACAGATTAAGGTTTATACTCACTGTGAACCAGAGCATTTAAATTGTCTATAACTTCCGTGATTACCAACACTAACATCAAATGCCTCATGGCAAAGATTAAATGGGTAATGATAAGAACAAAATCCTTTCTCTCTCTCAATCCAAAGGCTCTGACCAAAGAGTTTTTCTAAGGAAAAACTGCAGTCTGAATACTAGGCAGCACAAAAGTTTGAATAAGACATGACACTGAATTAAAAAACAAATAAACAAACAATCAAAAGGCAAAGACTTGCATTTACTATAAGTTACAAGTTTTTACTACAAGTCTTATTTTTTTTTAACTCAACCCCCTATATACTTATATGAAAACACTCAGTATTGATGTATTTAGCTGTATTGCATATACTCTGATATTCCGAGTGGAGCAGCAACATTGCAATTGTAAGTTGACATGCATGGCTTAAACTACAAAGAAAACGTATCACCGGTACTTAAAACAAGTAGATGTCAGTCTTCCACTGCAAACTCTCTAGACTTTGCCAGATTGATTTTTGTACAAATATCCAAATACATCTGTTCAACAGAGGCAAACCGTTTGTACAAACTGCTGTTATTTATGTTTGTATTTGGGCATTTATTTTATCTAATTCATCAAAGGACAAGGGCGTATACCAAACTGTGAATGTCCGTACTACTATACCACCCGAAAGTGATGCCTAAAAATCCAAATAATACAAAAATATTGGCCTAATTGACATTAATAAAGATTAATAGCAATCACTAATTATCTACATAAATAAACAGCCCTAAATATGTTCTGTATCTTGCTGGAACAGACAGTCAAATTACAGCAAGTAGATGTATATATGTGTGTGTGTGTGTTTTCACAGAACAGACAGTCAAATTACATCAAATAGATGTATATATATGTGTGTGTGTGTTTTCATACTTATTTGTGAGTAATCCCAAAAAATTGCATTATTAATGTGATAAATTGTCAAGAGAAAATGTTAGCTTTACAGTGTCATTACTACAAGTATGTATCTTGATAGAGGCTGTAACTACCATAAAGCTGTTATCTCCACTGTATTAATCAGTCTACTACTATTTGACTATATATACATGTATTAACATAAACAGATTCAAACTTGTTTCATTTTGTACTATTTCGAGTTCACAAATAAAGACAGTTGTTTCAAAGATAGTTGAAATGCTTACAAGAAAAGTAAGCCGACACTTATTTTCACATAACGGAGGAATAGTATGTATAATCTGAAAAAAAAAGTATTTGTTAAGAAAACGACTCCTGCTATATAAATAAGGTCCCGGTAGTTGTGGAAACGCAGTTCATACGTCAGCTACATTTGTGGTGCCATACGACTACGCTTCAAACACCTGAACCACCGTAGTAGTGTTTGTGATCAGGAATCACGTGTGTTATCCTGTGTTTTGTCAGGAGTGACCACATAATGACAGCGGATACAATTTGCTGAACAGCAGCCCTATTAGTTTGCCTCAACTTCTGCCACCATGTTGCTACTTTATGTACACGCAGTGTGTCCGTTTATGAGCCTGTCAGTGGATCTGAACACAGCCTCCACTGCCACTGCGTGACACTGTCATTAAAAACTGTTTGATCACAGTATTGTAACAGAGCGGTTTGTAGACGGACGGGTAGTATGACAGAATATGACAGCTGTCTGTCTGCGTTTCTTTTACAAAATAGGATGCTTGTATCAACAACGACGTGTTGTCACCGTGTGTGTTTGTGTGTATGTTGAGGTGTGCAGCCTATGCCATGTACGCAAAAAGTACACACACAAACACGCGTGAAGGCACATTGACAGCACGAATATATGTTCAATCTCTGTGCGCCTGCAGCTGTCTCTGACCACAGCACTGCTGCCGTTATCATATTTAAAAAAAAATCATCCAAGTGTGGAGTTTGCATTCAACTTTGCTCAACTTTACTGCACTCCGCCTATCCCCGGGCTTTTATATTCGTGGACATTCGCCGCGACACTAATAAAAACTCTGACATCATGATTTTTTTTATTTTTTCCTCTTCATACATGTAATCCCCTTGGCTTTCTCTGTGGTCCAAGTTGAGTACTGATTAACACAAACTTTCCCCCCCCCCAGCTCACCCCTCTCTCATAATTTAAATAACCCCGATATTTTAATTCAAGGACTGTGTAACGGTGAACTTAATTTACATCAAACTTACCCCGGACGCTTTAACATCCTTTCTGTTGAGTTTTTCTTCACTTTCAACAATTTTCCGAATTTTTTATAATTTTTTTCTCATATTTTTTGCTAGACGCGGCGGGCCTGAAAATTGTTTGCTTTCCCCTCTTTCGAGCAGCCATTGTGTATGCGCTGCGATGCAACCACACTAGCTTCAAACCACGCCCACTTTAAAGTCCGCCTTCTAGTGCTCATTTGTTTTATTAAAAATTCGGCCCGCTGCTATCACATTAGCCTTTTCGTGTGCACTCATTTTTTTTAAGAAACCCAATATAGTCGACATGTCGGACATGCTGGTGGTAGCTTTAAATGTGATTTTTAATGACAGTAAGACCGTCATGCAAACCATGAAATGTCATTTGCTCCGTCAGCGGGCCAGTCGACGTGCTTCGTTGTTAGAGATTCCTATTGGCTGACAAAGCTGTCAGTCGTTGATGACGGCGTGTCTGATTTTACTGGTGCGCTGTTGAAAGCAGATGGAGTGCAGTTGTTGTGCTCTAGAAATACGTATGGTCTCCGTGTTGCTTTAGGTCCGGTACTGAAATACATTCAGTAGAGTTTTTGTCTTCTGGCGTTCTTAGGTACATGTTCTGCTGCTGTTTCGTTGTAAACACGAATATCTAAATGATTGTATTACAGGCGGAATCGCGAGACCTGCGTTCTCCTATGTGAGTGATCTGAACACCCGTGACAACCTTCAGTGACAAGGACAGAGTAGAAGACATTCATACGTCAAATAAACTACAGGTGAGTTTATTTTTCACGTACATCCAGTTATTTACTACATGGATGAAGTGTAAACTAACCAGTCCGGTAATAATAACACTGAAGGTCAAAAATATATTAGCGACACCACGTGGCTGTTTCTCCGAAAAGATTGAACACGAAAACGAGAGATGTTTCCATTTTAGTGTTAAAACACTCAAAATAACAATTGCGTTATTGTGGCGTAACAAATTCGGCACAGCGTTATTGCCGCGATTTTATTCAAAATCAAACAATATCTCTGACCTGGAATATTGACGAAACAGCGTCAGAAGTTTCAGAATAAAGTTGTTAAGGTGACATGGCTAAGGTATTTATTGTCCAGTTAACTGCTAGGTCAGCACGTTATGTTATAATTATTTAACGATTTTATTACATTTATAAATGAAACATTGTTTATTTAAAATTTGTGAGTTGAGGCCAAAGCTGCAAAGGTGCATGATTTTCTCATCCGGTGACCAGCTGACACCTTGTGGTCCATGGAGGTATTGCAGGTGGTCCCTGGCCTTGTAGTTTCAACGTCTAGCCAGAACCGAGTGGAGTTCTGAGTAAGTTGTTGTTCCTGACACTGAGCAGCATGTTTCCTCAGGCTACCTCGAAATCAGAATGCTGGTCCCTGGATCAGAAACAGTTAAAAACCTCGGATAAATAATTTAATTATTACAAATATGAAAACATTTATAGATTTGTTTAGCTTTTGTGCTGACAAATAATCACATCGTTATTCAGACCGTGATACGTTTGCTCAGATGTTGTCGCACTGTCACAATATACTGAAAGATTTGAGTCCTGTGCTCAACATTTTGAAGAAATCTATCCAAAAACATGGAACTCGAAAGTAGCCCAGAGCAAACGGTAAACATACAGACTAAATGCCGGTAGTGCTCCTGTTGTTGTTGTCTATACAAACCATCAATATTTTGCAGAAATGTAGTATAACGATAATTCACCCATAACACCATTACTAAAGCAAAAAAAAAAAAACAAAACCCACAAATCATAATTCAGCCACAGCTGTGACAATGTATAGCATCAATAATAACATAATAAAATTACAATATTATTAATAAGATAAGATGAGTTTGCCTCATTTGTTCTTTCCCATCTCCATCCATGTTAATGCTGAAAGTCCACTCTGTCCTGATGTTTTTGTGCCATATATTAAATCGCTTTAAGCTGAAATGTATGTTTAACAGAAGCAGTTGATACAGGATAAAAAAGTTGCTTGATGCTGTTTATTAGCTCCGAGACTCCTATTGCTCCTAGATTGAACTTGGTTGAGATTTTCGATTGAACTAAAAGTATTTTCCATGTCCACACAGATCCCAATGGCTAAAAATGAACAAAGACTTCGCAATCAAGACACTAATCCATGCATGGAAGTAAGATGATGATGAGTCACATTCTGCTCTGATGATGCGCTGTTCAACTGTAATGCTGCTGCTATGTGGCACTGCTTCTACATGAAGCTTGCCACTTTGGTCGTCATTTTTTTATTTCTTTTTTCCAGGAGAGTGATGCCTCCATCAAGTGTGTCCACACCAATAAAATTAACCAGAGCATGTGTTCAGACTATTTTCAGAGATATCAGAACTGTCGTAAGTACTGGGTAAGTATTTACTCCTCACTATGATGAAAGTATATATTTTTTTAAATGTCACACACACATACTGTATATATAAATACTCGGTTTTGGAACTTAATTCGTTCCTGAAGGCCATCCGTGAACTGAAAAGTTCAATGTAAGATCAATGTAAAATGGATTAATCCATTCCTGGACCCTGGCTTTTTCAAACTTTTTCAACAGTATTCTGTGTTCAAGTTCATACACGAAACCAATGGAAATAATTAGATCTAACAAAAAAAAAGATTTGTGATTGCGCAAGGTTCGCATCGCGCAAGGTTCGCATCGCGCAAGGTTCGCATGGCTTTCTCACAATTATTGTCTCTGAAATACTGTTACCGGTCAACTGCTTTTTGTTGATCCATATCAGTAGCAACTTTTCCACTTCTTCTAATGTCTGATATCTTTGCTTGGTGATCACAGTCACTCTTTTGGCAATCTTAGCTTCTTTTATTGCTTCCTTATTCTTAATGATACGAGTGCAAATCGACGACTTTGCTAAGCCATACCGTAAAGCCAGATCTGAAGCACGAGCGCTATTCTCATGCTTTTGAATAATTGTTCTTCACTTCTGTTGTTCTCCCTATTTTTCCTCCGCCTTTCCAATTTTTTTCGCGCTTTTTTTAGGCAATTGGTGATTTCTATAATCAAAAAATAAAAGTGCAAGAAATACTGTCAAAATCAGACAACAGTTCTCAGTGTGTGTATCTCGAGCACTAAGAACTGATACTGCTTGCTTGTTTGGCAATCAGGTTATGGTATGACAACCGGCGCAATTTATACACACCATATTTTCCGGACTATAAGTCCCACTTTTTTTTCAGCCTTTCGCTGGCTTTGCGACTTATACTCAGGTGCGACTTATGTATTCAAATATATAATTTCACGTTTTTTTATTTTCTTTTTATTTCTGTCGATGCCCTTCTGCATATAATTGATTGAAGCCAAATAATTTCACAAATAATTTCTTTGTCGTAGCACAACATAATGCTGAAAAGGAGACGGGAAGGTGTGAAACCTGTAATGCCAACTGCAGCAGAGAGGAGGGAAATGCTTTCAGCCATTGGAAGCAAACCGTATTGAACGCCGACGAATGCAGAAGAAGAAACACCAAGGAGCTTGCTGTAAATGCCTGGATCATAGACGCTGATCTTCTGCAGAGAGCGTTTATTCTGAAAAGTCACTGGAAAAAAAGGGGAAGAATCATCAATTTGACAAAGACAAGACCTGAGTAGGATTATCAAGAAATAAATGTGTAAGAAAGGAGAGGACATTGACGACAACACCTAGTCTTTTTGGAACCACAGAACTGGTGCTTGAAGAACTTGTTCTAGTTTTTAAAAAAAAGATCACTTCTGGCAGTTTTTTTTATATAGATTTATATTTAGCACGTTAGCTTCTTCTCTTATAATTAAGTTAATTTAATATTTCTAAATTACAAAATTAACGCTGCATGAAGTCGGTCGCCTAAGTTTGCACTGCCTCTGTGTGGTTAATATAATAATCTTTTGGAACGTTCGCAACCCTCCAACAGTGACATCTGGTGGTCAAATGAATGTAAGGTTTTATAATAATGTTAGTGTAATACCTCACTCAATAAAGGAAGTTTGACTTGATTCTTCTTGTCTCCTATTCCTATTTTGTGTTGATATGTAGCAAGGGTCTAAAACTCTCGTTCTAGGCTCAGGTTAGTAATGGATGTTAATGATTTTTTTATTGTTTTTGCTTAAAGTTTAGTTAATATAGTTTGTTTTGGGGTTTGAAACCAGCTCTAACAATGGTTTCGCGATTTATTAAAACCAGAAATCATCACTTCAGAGGGTGTCTTATGGGTGGTTCGATTCCCAGAGGAACCACAAATTCCTATTGGTGCCTACAGTGTGGCATCCAGTGTGGGTTGCAAAGAATCACGCTGTAAATGTCCTCATTGTGGGACAAGAAAAGGGACTCAATTATTATTATTTTTTTATGGGAAATTCTGATATTTCTGGTGAGCCTGGTGCAAAGGTGGTTGCGCCGAATTATTAGAAACTGGAACATATTGTAGGCATCAAACTCAAAATTGATAATTATTTGTAAGGAAAAAATAATTCAAAGGTTTTTTTTCTTTCTAAAAATAAAACAGATTGTGACAGATTTGCCGACCATTACATTCTGTAATTGTATAATAATGTAACAATAATACAGCAAGGGAAGCTTGGCTTACTCTAAAATGTTTTCAAATGTAATGCTCTAAATCAGCTTTGAATCAAAGATTATGAAATTGTATACGCAAGCTTTTTTTTCTGCTACCACTGTGTCAGTTCCCTGCAATGACTCACTTCTGATTTGAAAAAAGGATGTAAATGTTTCATTTTTTTTAATTTCAGTGATTAAATACATAATTAATCACTATTAATCACTATTAATATTTTTTTTTAATTTTCAGTGATTAAACGCATGATTAATCACTATTAATCACTATTAATCACTCTGCTACACAAAATCCTAAAAATCAATTCCAATCAATCAGTGTATAGCACACCTTTATTTTAAATACAGTGCCATATGAACATAACATTTCTTGTGATAAAAAGTTTAGTGTAACTCTCAACTGAAGCTTATTGCCACTGCTGAGGCATTGATCCTGTTAGTAATATAAAAAAAAAAACTGCCCACAAAATCCTGATCTTTCTTCACGTTCGTCGCTATGTAAAATAATGAGTTAGTAGCACTGACCGACTGACATCAAAGAGAAAACTGGGAGTGTTGCATCTTGATGTTTACAGAAACATCAATGAACTCTTCTCTGTAGCTTTCTGCTGCGATGACTGAATAATTTCCTTTTGGGGATGATTAAAGTACTATTCTATCCTATTAATAAAAAAAAAGACAAGAAAAAAACCCAGCTAATGTTATAACTGACTTAAATTAGTTCACTAGGTAGGGACATGGTTTCCTCGTTTTGCTTGTCAGAGGTTCAGCTTGAAGGAACTTGTTTACATAGTAACGATTGCTGGTATGTATGATTGGACATTGATCTTAGGGAGCAGAGTTTGCGAAAAAAGTTGAATCTCTTCTTTACCAGTTCCTGACAGCGCTGTGGCAGTAAGAAACAGACTTTTACAAAATAAAAGCTGGTGAGCAACTAACGTTTTCAAAAGATAGTATAATCGAATTCACAGTATCGCTATATATTGATAAACAAGGACAACAATGAGGAGGAGCACAGGTGCCTCGTGAGGAACTCTGTTATATGAAGCAAATCCAATTGCCTGCAGCTCAACACCTCCAAGACCAAGGAGTTGGTAATAGACTTTGGGAAATCCAAACAAAAACTCCAACCAGTTCCTATCGAAAGTCGGGAGGTGAAGGTCGTGGAGACCCATAAATACATTGGGCTGTGGTTGGACAACAAGCTGGACTGGGCAGACAACAGTAGGCAGCTGTACAAGAAGGCCCAGAGTAGACTGTACCTCGTGTGGAGGCTCTTTTAGATAGATAGATAGATAGATAGATCTATCGATCCATCCATCCATCCATCTATCCAACCATCCATCCATCCATCCATCCCATTCCATTCCATTCCATCCATTCCATCCATTCCATCCATTCCATCCATTCCATCCATTCCATCCCATTCCATTCCATCCATTCCATTCCATTCCATTTCAGTCCATTCCATTCCATTCCATTTCAGTCCATTCCATTCCATTCCATTTCAGTCCATTCCATTCCATTCCATTTCAGTCCATTCCATTCCATTCCATTCCATTTCAGTCCATTCCATTCCATTCCATTCCATTTCAGTCCATTCCATTCCATTCCATTCCATTTCAGTCCATTCCATTCCATTCCATTTCAGTCCATTCCATTCCATTCCATTTCAGTCCATTCCATTCCATTCCATTCCATCCATTCCATCCATTCCATCCTGATTACATACTGTAATATCAGTACCAACAATAGTTTTACATTTAAAAGAACAGGATACTGAGCTAGGCTGTTACAGTAGTATAAGAACTGAGAGCATAATTCATATTTAAACAGTTAAGCCTGAAATAAGCTACCACTGCCACTGAGTAATCCTACCTATCTATCTGTAAGGGGGCACATGATGTCACAACTCTTCTGCCATGACATGCTTTGATGCCTTTGATGTTCTCAAGACCGTTACACTACTACAGGAGTACACTTTTGGTCAATAATTAACAATCTGCATTGAAAGGATAAGATATAAAAGAAGAAACAGGACAGAAAAAGAGGAAAGGAGAGGAGAGTACTATTTGATGTTAAACACTAAGGACAAGAAGAGTTGTGCCTGCCATAATACAACCAGTAGTTTCATGGTTTTTTTTCTTTTCCAAGACCCATAAAACCAGTGATTTGGATTTTACTTAGATTCCAGAGGAAACATGGTAAGGTTGAAATATTTGTTTTGGTACATCTAAGTGGTAATTTGACAATGAGTGGCGTGTTTAAGGAATATAATAATAACATAACAGGTTATCGCTGGGAGAAAGCTGTTCATATTTTTCAGATGTTTGCTTAACTTATAGACAATGCAGCAACTCTAAAAGTAAGGCTCTTTGTAGATTAGATCACCAATCATAACCCTCACCGTTGTTGCTTCCATGGTGATTTTGGTGACCAATAGAAATATATATACTGTATGCCAGATTTGATGTACATACATACAGTGGGGCCTTGAGATACAAGTTTAATCCGTTCCACAACAGCACTCGCAATTGCATTAAAAATAACAAAATACCCACTTGTCTAAACATTACAAATATATCAAATATATTGATAATATAAAATAATTATTAAGAAAACATTTTATATGATTGTTATAAAAATGAGTAAAATAATGAGAGAGAGAAAGAGAGAGAGAGCGAAAGAAAGAGAGAGAGAGAAAGAGAGCGAGAGCGAGAGAGAGAAAGGGTGTTGCAATAGTTGCCTACTCGTAACTTGGAAAACATATTTTGGACAACTCGTATCTTCAGACAGAATTCATTAAAATCTCATGGTTCACCTAGAGAAATTTCATTGCCTTTCTAAACTTGTAGTTTATTGAAGTTACCAACATTCAATTCAACTCAAAAGTAAAGTTTCTAACTTAAACTAAATATAACTGGTGCAGCTAAAACCTGCCTCATTTTCTGCATACCCAGGAGGTAGAACCATATATAACAAAAACAGCACCTTGTTAAAAAAATAAAATAAAATAAAATATATTCATCTGATAAATCATCGATCTTCTGGTGTGCATTCTTAGCAGCAGATTATAACGTAACAAAAGTATAATAATAAAAAGAAATAGTTCACTAAATCAACAGAAGCTAGCGTATCCCGTTAAAATAGAAATTTCAACATTACATAGGTTAAGTTGACCAGACTCGTGGTTTGATTAGTATCCAATAATAATCCAAATTCACTAATTTAATTGTACTTCCATTTGCAAAGCCATATTTGATGCCGTTGGGGATTGTACCTATGCAAAAACTGTAGTCATCTTCATTTTTCTGTTTTATACATTTCTTCATATTTTTCTGCTAAAGCTAGTATAGAGAAGACAATCTCTGTATATTGGAACTTGGAATTTATTGGAATTTATACTGCCACCACATGGTCCAAAGCTGTATTGTAATTCAACGTCTCGTGGATAACATATCTCTGATGTCTTCAGTTGATAAACAATGCGGTCCCGCAGCCTTTGGGTCCGTTTCTTGAAGCGGGCTTAGTGCTAAGTCAGAGTTAGTTAACTCCGTATTAGAGGGAACTCTGACTTTCCGGATTCCACATATGCCATGGAGCAAACCTTCTCCGTGGCAGTTTTCTGACTTTCCGGATTCACGAAGCCGGCTAGGCCGTGACGCTGACTTGGTTGCTATAACCACATACGCCGTGGAGCAAACCTTCTCCGTGGCAGTTTTAAAGTCCTTAAGTCTGAGCAGCTCAGTTGCTTAGAAGAAATTGATACCAAGAGAGAATCCTGAGACCACAACTAGATATTTGAGCAGTCCCCTAAAGTTTTTTGTTCGAGCGTTTCCGTTTTTCGTCGCAATTAATTACATAATTAATTCGAATATCAGCCCATATTTCGTTCGCCAAACTCAAACTGTCTTGTGTAATTTGAATGTCATTTGCCTAACAGTCCACAGACCACAGCAGAATTATTGAGACACATAAATAGACAACTAACGTCTGGGAAGATGATCATACTGATCTATTATCTCCAATAGGGGGCAGAAGTTATTCCTCCCTGTTTGAACGATATTTTTTGTATATGTTCTTAATTTGCTGCCAAGTCCTCTTTATCCCTTCATATGTAGTCGGCCACGAGCGCTACTTAACTCAGTGTATCGTGAGCCAGCTTCAAGAAACGGACCCCTGATGTCATACTCCTTGTGTAATGCAGCATTGGCCTATCAGCTACCACAAGCTTTCCTAAGTATTGACCAACTGCAGTCGCAGAAGAAGCAGCAAGCACAGATATGAAATAAAAAATGAACAAAGCAAACGTTTATTTTTTAGAGTAGCGAGTTGTGCAAGTTTACCCGAGGCGCTGGAAACAAATAAAAACAAGTAAATACCAGACAAATAATAATAAAAAAATAAAAATAAATTCCAGATGACATTGCTATTTCACTGCATGTTGCTTCCCTAGTTGGTATGATTTGTATAAAGAAAGACATAGTTAAACTAAATATGTCCATAAATACCTTTTATGTATATAGATACATATTATTATTATTATTATTATTATTATTATTATTATTATTATTATTATTATTATTATTATTATTATTATTATTATTATTATTATTATGGCACTTTGGCCCAGAGGCAATGTCTCTGTCATAGGTGTGGAACCCCAGGGTTCACCTCCTGGGCAAGTTCAAATCCCGGTTCGGGCGGTTGGTACGCGACCCGGTAACGGATAAGCGGATGAAAATGGATGGATGGATGGATGCATTATTATTCTTCTTCTTTCAGCTGCTCTCTTCAGGAGTCGTCACAGTCGATCATCTGCCTCCATCTTGCCCTATCCTCTCCCTCAGTGATTCTTAACTATAGGGCCACAGCCCACACTTGGGCCACTAGCACTAGTCGTGGGCGGATCGATCCAAATATCGATAGTATCGATACCAAGTTGGTGGTCCAACTCTGACTTTCCGCTTTCACTAAAGCGGATTCCAATTAGCTCTCTGACGTCTGAGTTGAGTTAAGACTTGAGTGGCGCTTGTGCCCAACTACATATGAAGGCTCCCTCAATTGAGCGCAGATAACACGAACCATGTCATGTCCCGCACCTTTTGCTTCACTCCGGTGGAGCTAGAAATACTGTTGCATGTCTATACCGATTACGACACGCTGTAAAAATAGAAAGAACAACAGCGTCACAGCCGCAGAAGACAGAGAAAAGGCTTGGCAACCGATTACAGATAGAGTGAATGCGTGAGTATTGAGAAGAGAGAGAGAAGAGAAGAAAGTTGTTCATCCTCGTTCATGCCTCGAATACGTTTTCAGCATCACTGATGTTATAAAGGAATCTTCTTCTTTTTCTTTCGGCTTTGTCCCTTTTTTTCAGGGGGTTGCCACAGGGAATCATTGTTTTCCATCTCACCCTGTTCTCTGCATCTTCTACTCTGACTCTACTATCAACTATCTGCATGTCCTCCCTCACTGCATCCATATATCTCCTCTTTGGCCTTCCTCTCTTTCTCCTACCTGGTAGCTCCATCTCTAGCATTCTCCTACCAATGTATCCTTTGCCATGTTATATGTAATTTTACAGACATTTACAACTGCTCTCGGTTTCTTATTGAGCACAGGGTCTTTCAATCACATTTCCACAAATATTATGTCATACAGTAGTTAACAGAATGTAGTTTGACATTATTTTGGAAATCTAGAATTACAGGTAATTTAGCAAATAAAATTAAAACATATGGATAAAAAATATTAGTTTTTCTTTTCATTGTTAAGACTTACTGTGAATAACTAGGCAAATAATACTTTTTTTCTTTCGCAGCGTGAGTGCATTTCCATTCATGTCGGTCAGGCTGGTGTCCAGATTGGCAATGCCTGCTGGGAGCTCTACTGCCTAGAACATGGGATCCAACCAGACGGACAAATGCCCAGTGACAACACTCTTGGAGGATCGGATAATTCATTCAACACTTTCTTTAGTGAGACCGGAGCTGGAAAACATGTTCCCAGAGCGGTATTTGTTGACTTGGAGCCAACTGTCATTGGTTAGTCATCACATTTTTTAATGAATGAAAAGTAGTATGAAAATGGATCAGAAAAACTAATAAATAGGGATGTCCAATAATATCTATCGACTGATATTATCAGCCCAATATTAGCATAATTATGTAATATATCCGTAACAATCGTTATCAGTTTTATCTCCGATGCAATGCTTTTTGCCAAATACTGGAATCACATTTGGAGTCCTGTTTTCCTCAGTTTTGGAGGGTTGCATATATTGGTATCGGTTGATATTGGAATCAGAAATTAAGTGTTTCGATATCAACATATCAGATATTATATATATATATCTGATATCCCTACTAGTAAGATGTTTATGTTTTGTCTTAAGATGAGGTTCGCTCTGGTACATACCGCCAACTGTTCCATCCTGAGCAGCTAATCACTGGGAAGGAAGATGCAGCCAACAACTATGCTCGTGGACACTACACCATCGGCAAAGAGATCATTGACTTGGTGCTGGACAGGATTCGCAAATTGGTACGTTGTTTTAAATTTGATGTATCTAATCATTCCCTAAAGTACAATTCTAAAGTTGAATTCATTTCCCATCGTTCTCCTTTATTTTCAGGCTGACCAGTGCACTGGTCTTCAAGGTTTCCTTGTTTTCCACAGTTTTGGAGGGGGAACTGGCTCTGGCTTCACTTCCTTGTTAATGGAACGATTGTCTGTTGACTATGGAAAGAAGTCCAAGCTGGAGTTTTCCATCTACCCCGCTCCCCAGGTGTCTACTGCTGTGGTAGAGCCTTACAACTCCATCCTGACTACCCACACCACTCTTGAACACTCTGACTGTGCTTTCATGGTTGACAATGAGGCTATTTATGACATATGTCGAAGAAACCTAGATATTGAGCGTCCCAGCTACACCAACCTGAACAGGTTGATGAGTCAGATTGTGTCCTCCATTACGGCCTCCCTACGCTTTGATGGTGCTCTTAATGTAGATCTGACAGAGTTCCAGACAAATTTAGTACCCTATCCTCGTATCCACTTTCCTATGGCCACATATGCCCCGGTCATTTCTGCAGAGAAGGCATACCATGAGCAGCTAACAGTGGCTGAAATTACAAATGCCTGCTTCGAGCCAGCCAATCAGATGGTCAAATGTGATCCTCGCCATGGCAAGTACATGGCTTGCTGCCTTTTGTATCGCGGTGATGTGGTGCCCAAGGACGTCAACTCTGCCATCGCAATAATAAAGACCAAGCGATCTATCCAGTTCGTGGACTGGTGTCCCACTGGTTTTAAGGTTGGTATAAACTACCAGCCACCCACAGTGGTTCCTGGTGGAGACTTGGCAAAGGTTCAGAGGGCTGTGTGTATGCTAAGCAACACAACTGCGATAGCAGAGGCCTGGGCTCGACTGGATCACAAGTTTGACTTGATGTATGCCAAGCGCGCCTTTGTCCACTGGTATGTAGGCGAAGGTATGGAGGAGGGAGAGTTTTCTGAGGCCAGAGAGGACATGGCAGCACTGGAGAAAGATTATGAGGAGGTGGGAGTTGACTCAGTGGAGGGAGAAGATGAGGGAGGAGAAGAATACTGAAAGGGGTAAAAAACATACACTAAACAGAGGGAAAAGTAGATTAGGTAACTTTGGTTGACAAAAAAAAAAAACATTTGAAAGTCTGCATTCAAGCAGCTTAATACAGTAAAATGGTTTAACAGCTTATTAAACAAAAGATGCAAAAGAAAAAGATGATAACATTAACTTTTTTAATCAATGGTGTGTTTTAAATCAATATGTGATCAGTTTTTGTCTCAAAGTCAGCAATGATTCATTGATAGAAAACATTAGGTATGTTAATGATGTTAATAAAAGTATATGTCCATGTAAGTGTAAACACTAGTTACCATAGCTTGTTTTATGAATAAGGGTATTTCACCGTGTATAGTTTGCTTGATGCTCTGTCCTGTCTAAAACAAATTTTAATCATGAAATGCAATAAAGTTTTAAATGCAATGTCAACTATGCATTCATATTTCATTCACTGTAAGTTAAGTTTGCAGAAATTTTAGTTACATAATTTTGAGTCCTGACAACCCAATTCTTCTGCTTTACACGAACTATTTCCAGATTCCAATCTGTTAGCTGCTCAGGCCTCAAAATACTAAGAAGCTACAGCAGCCAACTCTGGTGTCAGAATGGTGAACTCCAGTTAAAACATAAACGTTTGTCTGCTTTCTGGAAAGCTACAGGCCCTCATTGTGTGTGGGTAGTTCCAGCTGACAGCTCAAGCCAAAATAGAAATTCACTGCTGAATTGCCACTGCAGTACCAGGCTAGCAACAGGTGAAACTTTTGTACTAAACAAGCCTCAAAACAAACCAACACTGAGCAGACAATCGATACACTGCAATCTCAGAATCCATATTGCCAGGTAATTTGCAAAAAGGCAAAAATACAATCTTGGGATGTTGTGATTTAATGTGATAAGAAGTTTTATCTGTCTCGTTTTTAATCATTTATTATACTTTTTTTTTTTGTTTGAGAAGTTTTGGTTTCACCTTAACTCAAGCACTGCTCAGAAAAATGTTGAACATGTAACAATAGATTCTGGTTCATTTTGCTGTTCTGGTGCTTTTAAACTTGATGGCTGCCTATGATGTATGGACCAGAAACGACTACCACTTGTCTCATCTTGAGTTGTGTGTTTTGTTGTTTCAAAATAGTTATAAAATTCTATTGTATTTCATGAGAGACAAGGAGTCTTCTTAAAGACGGAAAACTGAACGGTTGGTCTCCTGGTGTAGTCAAAATGATCAGAGTAGTGATTACTACTGAGACTCCAAAAATAGTTACATCGAAGGCAACTGGACAGCATAGGTTTCTTGAAGATGTTTCACCAATTAACTGTAAGGTTTTTTGTACATTTGATGTTGGTGGCGCTTGTGTGAGTGTGTGTGTGTGTGGCCTGTGCTCTTTCACAGCTGTGCTGATTCCTCAGAGGAATGATGAGCTGCACACCTGAAGGTGGTTCCTTCCAATTGACAGATGAGGATATAGGCTACCCCAGGGTTCACTTCCTGGGCAAGTTCGAATCCCGGTTAGGGTGTTTGGTACCTTCAAGTGGACTCACGGGGGTTGGTACGGTGCAATGTGATTTGGGTGGCGACTGCTGCCCCCGCAACCCGGTAACGGATAAGCGGATGCAAAGTGACATGCAATGTAGTACAAAGGCCAAAGGGCTGAACTTTGCGGTCTCTCCTCCACACATCCCCACCGTGAAACTCAGCCACAGCCACTGAGACAGCCATCAGAAACAACCGATTGAACACCACAGAAGCCGAACAGCTCAGGTTGAAGGTCACTGCGGCACTCTCCAGTGCTAAACCTCCCCCTTCAAACCTGTCCCTCCCTAAGAAGAAAGCGCTGGCAGCACTCCAAAAAGACATCACCATCCTTCCAGCAGACAAAGGTAGGTGCACAGTTGTTTTAAACAAAACAGACTACCACGCTAAAGTCACAACTAACAGAATTGGCATCAAACATTTTTTTCCTAATTAGTCAATTAAATTGAAGAATAGCTGCAGCCCTAGTTTTATTGGAACCCAAAAATATAGCTACCCATATAAAGATAGGCTCTATACCTCAAACCTGAAATATGAATATTGCTGACTATAATAACTCTTTAGTGTTAACTGTCGAAGGAAAAGTAGCATTCCTATTTAGGCTATTTTCAGATTACAGTTACAGACTTAATCATCTTAATCATTTTGTCATGTTACTGTTCCTGAACAAAAACCTGTAAATCCGTTGTCACTATGGCAACAGAGCCAAAAGGGATTCTTCCTTGGAGCAGAGAGCCAAAGGCTGGGAATGAGCCAATTGTGTTTACACTTTATTTGCACTACTGACTTTATTTTCAAAACATTGTGCAATGGGAGGTATTTTAGTTGTCATGTTGACATTGTTATATTTGTATTTTCGTTACATTGCTGCTTTTTTTGGTTTGACTCTCTTGACTTTTGTTCTGAAACAGTTGTTGTAGTAGAAGTTTTTTTATATACTGTTAAAGTTTGCATTGTAGTTATTGAATAAAAAATAATTGTGCTGTGTTTATCATAATTATAATAAACTAACACGGGGGGGGGGTCAATTATTCAATGATCATGACATTTCCAAGCAAAAAGTATCGGTATCGTATCGGTATCGGCCGATACTACCCTGTATTTACTTGGTATCGGATCGATACCAAAATTCCCAGTATCGCCCACCCCTAGCTGGCAGCACTCCGAAGAGACCCAGACATCACCATCCTTCCATCCATCCAGCAGACAAAGGTAGGTGCACAGTTACGCACCAGAATACCACGCTAAAGTCAAATCTCTTCTCAGTGACTCAGCACACATCCTTGAAGAAAGATCCCAATGTGCACATCAGCTGCCTCCAACAGCTGGAAAAGGATAAAGCCATCGACAGACCCCCGTACCACTGGCTATATCCAGGAGAAGACATTCCTCGTATTTATGGTCTCCCCAAAATCCACAAGGAAGGAGCTCCACTCAGACCCATCATCAGCAGCATCAATTCAGTCACTTATAACATTGCCAAACACCTGGCCTCCATCCTTTCACCATTGGTTGGGGACACACCTCACCACATAGCCAACTCACAGGACTTCACCAACAAGATAAGGGGGCTAAAACTGGACACAGATGACGTCACATCACTTTTTACATGCATCCCCACCACAGAGGCAGTAGCAACAGTGAGGATGCGCTTACTACAAGATCACACCCTGGCAGTAAGGACTAAGCTGACCCTTGACCACATTTGTCCCCTTTTGGATTTCTGCCTCACTCACAAATTTGGAGTCATCAGAACTCTACAGTCACGGGCAGACACCATTCCCACCACCAACAGAGGTAAGATGAGAGAACAGGGACACATTAGGACAGCGCTCAAGACCTGTGGACCTGTACACTGGGGAGACTAAACTACCACTACACAGGATGTGGACCTGTACATTGGGGAGACTAAACTACCACTACACAGGCGCATGGCCCAATACAGGAGGGCCAACTCCTCAGGACAGGACTCAGCTGTTCACATACACCTCAAGGACAAAACACACTCCTTTGAGGACAACAATGTGCACATTTTGGCCAGGGATGACAGATGGTTTGAGAGAGGGGTAAAAGAAGCCATTTTTGTCAAACTGGAAAAACCATCACTCAACAGAGGAGGTGGACTCAGACACAACCTCCCTCCAACTTACAAAGCACTTTTAGGAACAATACCCAAAAGATTCTTCTCAGTTTCACATAACAAAGAGGCAGGTGACCGGAACCATTCTGATGAGAACCACAACGACCCATCAGACTCTTAACGACTGTTTATACTTTTCACAGTTGGCCCCACCCAAAAGGGTGTACCTTAAGTAGCTTTATTCTTTCACACCCAGAGTATATATTTGCTGTACTCCCCACAACCAGTTAGAACTGTAGAAGCCTCTTGGATGAGAGGTGAAACGTCTTCTTTTAGAAAATTCACATCCAGTTGCCTAACAGAACTTTCAAACTTGACCATGACCTGGATAACTGAGAAACTTCATAGACACTTAATATTTGTTTTTTCATGTAGGTGGATAAATTTATTTCATTTGATTATTCACCACACCTTAAAGTCCAGTACATGATAATATTGTCTGACATGAACCCATGCACACATGAATGGAAATTCAAACTGCAGGTAAAAGGCCACACCCAAACCATTACAGTAAACATCTTTACTGCATGTAAAGCAAACACTGTAACAAGCGGTTTTAACAGGTTGGTAGATACTCCAAAACATAAAGAGGTATATATGGTTAACAATGCAGTGGAGGTAAGCTACTGTTAATGTACAATGCAAACAGTACCTCTAAAGAGACAAAACAGACCAATACAACACCATCCCACAGAAACTGATTTAAGAAAATTTTAGATATTTTGTTTTTCTCGTTTGCGGTTGTTATAATCAGAGCAAAATGCTGTAATTCAAATCAATGGATGGATTAGAATTTTGAAACAGTTAATGCAGGACTATTGAATGAGATCAGTCGAATCGAATGATATTTTAAACTATATTTTGATTGTATTAATATTTTAATCCCAACGGTACCACAAGCAAATGTTCACATTTAAGATTTAAAAGTGAGGCAAGGACCACAATAGACCCCTTAGCATTGACATGTAGTTAACACAGCACAGTTGAAATAAAATGACACGTGGAAAAGCAATGCGATGTAGAGTTAATTGAGGAATGTGTGTCGCTTAATGTGTGGGTTTACCAAGGATATGGTTCTGAAAATAAAAATGTTTGAAACCAAAAAAACTGTAAAAAACTACAAATCGGAAATAACCTAGAACCTAATTGAGATGATCTTGAATTTGGATATTTACACAAGACAAACACTGACAAAAGAGCTTTATCACTGTCTTTCTATTTCCCCTAATTCAAGCATACCGAAAACCAGGGATGTCCGATAATATCAGCCAACCAATATTATCGCCCCGATACTAGCGTAATTATGTAATATCTGTAAAAATCGTTTCTGGTTTTTCCTCCGATAATGAAAAATCAATAACGCATTGCCTGGGTTTCGCCAATGTCACTGATGCACAGCACACCAACGCACACAATGTGCTTTGCCTTTAACTAAGCACCTTAGTAGGCAGACTGCACTTCCCTAACAACTTTCTTAACAATCAAGCCATCAATGCCCCACTATATCAGTATTGATTGATATAGAAATCAAAAAGTGTTTGGCCAATACTGGCATATCGGATATTGGCAGAACGTTAAGATCGGACATCCCTACTGAAAACTCAATAAAGCAAGGGGAAAAATAAAGTATGAAAAGAAAAATCATCTGGCACTGGGGAATGGCACATCAAAAACATTAGAAAAGAGTGAAATTGAAACTTTCAGTTTCATAGACAGGCAAGCAGTTCAAAGCGGTGGTACAGTCGGGAAGTAAACACAGCAGTACAGTAGTCATGTTAATAGCAGTTACTGCTTGATTGAATGAACAGTAATAGTAGATTAAGTCAGGGTCCACTCTCCATGTTTCTTTTTCTCCAAGACACAATTCTCAAGTTTGATTGTTAACAACCTTTAAAGTGCTTTCGGGAAAAAAAAAATCAATAAAGTCTGTTGAGGCACAGACAGAGGGCATTTCTTCTCTTCTAACTCTTTTACAGCTGCACTATACTAATTTGTTTTACTTCTTGAAAGGCGTCAGTCTGCCAATGTTGTGCCAAAAGGTGGAGGTTTTGCGCTTGGGCTCAGCCAGCATGAAGACCTGCTGCTGAGGCAAAGCCGTTGGTAGGGAGGGGTGCTTCTGTCGCAGGAGGAAATCATAGTAGGGTCTTGTCACTGCTGAGAAAAAGAAAAAAATACAAAGTAAAAAAAATACAAATTCATGCAAATGTGCTGCATGCGTAGTTTAAGAATAGTAAAATGTCTACTCTTCTTTTCTTCATCATATCAGCTAGTTCTCTACTTTCCCCTGTAACTACCTACATTCAAAGTTCCAAACTTCAGACCAACATTTCTATCCTTCCTCTCTTCTCTTTTTCTCCTAACCAGTTGCCCTCCTCTTCTTCTGTGTCTTCGTCCAACAGTAGCCCAATTTCCCTCAGTACCCTGTAGGTCAACACTACTGTTGGCGGTCGTTTTTGACAACGGGAGAGGGGGTCTGTCATGTCTGTCTGTTTCCTTTTCCTGTTGTCTGCTTTGTGGGGTAATCTGCGGGTTCACACTTACCTGTTGGTAATTCAAGCACACATCCTTGCACCAGGTGACAAGCTTCACTTGTCACCTGGTGCTCCCTGTGTATATATACCCCTCTCCCTCACTCTGTCCTTGTTGGATCATTGTGACTGTGTTTGATCATTGTCGTTGGGTCATTGTTCAATTCGTTCTGTCAGGCTGTTCGGGTTCGGTAGCAGTTCGTGAGTTTCCTGTTCTGTGTTTCCTCGTGTTCTGTGTTTCCTAGTATTCCGTGTTACAAAGAGAATTCCATCCCTGGTAGTTCTTCCTGTTTTGTTAATTTGCACTTGTAAATAAACTACCTGCACCAGAAAGAGTCTCTCCAGTACTGCATTTGGGTCCTGCCTACTGCCATGCCGTTGCTCCCACGTGACAATAAGTGTGTATGTCAATGTAACTGTCACTCATCTAGGCTAACACAGTGGTAACAGCTTTATCTAAGACATACACCATGTATCAGATTTACATGCTGGATAGCCTGGACACACACCTTTGGGTTTTCCAGCTGGATGGCTTTTGCAGGCATTCAACATGGCCTGTTTCTTCTGCACTTCTGTGAGAGAAAAGCCTGGAATTGGATCAAGAAGAAGTAATTTGGGATTTGCTTTGTAAATATTATGATTTTTCAGGTTCAAAAAAGTGATAGAGATGCATGATTTACAGTCATATGCCATCACTATATGCCATTACCATGTATATACCTGTTTCAAGGTCATGCTGCACCTGCCTTCTCTCGTCAGAAAAGGCGCGTAGCCAGCGTTGCTTCTGCTCAGGCTTCTTGGCACATAAAAGGTGGACTTCATCGCCAATAAGTGACTGTAGTTTTAAGGCGTTCTTCACACTCATGTTGAAGATCTTCTCTTTACCGTCTTCCACATCAATCACCTCCATGTAATCCATGTCCAATCGACCCTTGTAGTACAACATGTCTCTGCGCAGAAGATCCTGTTTCGATGAAAATCTCAGATTTAGTCTTTAAAACAATCATAAGTTTGGTCCATAAATGAATGGAAACAATATGTATATATTTTTACGATTAATTGGTTTAATCAGTCTCGACAGTTTTTGAAGTAAGGTTTCTTTGCCATTTCTTGTGACTACACCCCAAAAAACCTTTAGTTTGTTGACAAAAAAAAAAATCATCCTGTGAGTGCATCTACATAAAACCTCAGTGGCTCATTACAAAATGAGGGAAGTTAACAGATTATTCAATATTGAAAATATTACTTGCATCCCTTGTTTTCAGTATGAAACAGTGGGGAGGACAATGTCAGCTCCTGCAGCACCTTTTTGCAGTAGACCATCTGATGGTCAAAGAGGAAGAACATTCTCTGCTGACTCTTAAACTGAGGCTGAGACAATTTGGTCAGCTCCCCCGAAAATATGAGTTCAGAGCTCCTGCTGAGCACGTCCTCGCCCTGCAAACACACACGCACAAATATGAGATATAATATATGTTAAGCTCTCAAGGTATTCCTGGGAGGCTATCTTTACAAAAATGTGTAATTCTGCACATCCTGTAAACACAACCCCACAATGTGAAGACATTTGTGTTTTTAAACGTCATACCTCCCACTCCTCTATGGAGCTCTGCCACTGGGCGATCTTTTCAATATTCTCAAGGCGCCGTTTCTTTTCATTGATCAGCCTCGCTACATTCTTCATGGCATTTAGAGCTGCTTCTACATCTTTGTAGTCTCTTTATATATAAAAAAAGATGGGGGACAGGGGACATTTGCAATGTTTGGTTAGTATCCTTCCTGTAACAGTAATTAATAATAATTTGAACTTTTGATGCCACACATGGTAAATTTTTGTGGTAACAGCAGATTTGCTGCCCCTTGCAGGTGCCATGTATGTGGTTCCTCTGGGAATTGAACCTAGAAGTACCTCCTCTCTACTGCTGAGGCATGCATGCTAACTGCTACACTCTGGAAGCACTAAATATAATTACGGTGTGGGAATTGTGCCATGCTCAATGAACCTCAGTGGTAACCTGGCAGCTGGTGCTGGTTCTGATCCTTCCAGACCCAGATGTTATTTTGTACAAATATAGAGGATTTTTTTCGCTGTAGACATTTTTGTTCTTTGTGTGTTTGACTATAAGAAAGTAGTGGTCGGGCCACTCAAGTGTTGGAGAGAGAAAGGACTGCATGCAAGAAGAGCAATCGGAAACATCACAGAAGATGGCTCTGGCTCAAACAGGAAAATCTATGGTCTGTCAAAGCTGACAAAACTTGTCTGATGTTGCAAGAGGTGAAACGCCCCACGACTGCAGGCTACCTCGCTGACGCTTCGTCCGAAAACCTGGTCCGAAAACATGGTCGGATCACTACCATGAAGTTATGGTGACTGCTGGAAGGACAGAAGACAACTGGACAGACAGTAACCAGGGCAGCGGGCGGTAGCAAGTCTAACTGTAGGGGGAGCAACCACACATAGGCTATGGAAAACTCCAATAAACAATACCCTCACAGGCGTTTTAGAGCAAGGTATGAGCGCGTTAACCAGGCGGACATACTTGTATGTCCGCCTGGTTTACGCGCTCATACCACACTTATAGGCCATAAGGTGAACCCGATTATCATTTCATCTTGCTCCAACGTCTAGGAACTACATGGTCTCAACTTCATAAATAGCAACAAGTTACGTTAAACCTACAGCAAAAAGGTCGTCGCAAAAAATCCTGCCCGTTTTTTATATCGATGCATTTTATAAAGAACTAGCGTCTTCGGGGTGCCATAAAAGTTTGGTGCGCGAGCGGTGGCACGGTTCGACACGTGATCCTGCTACACCAATTAAGTAGCTGATTGATGTAAACACTTCCGACAACACGGCTTCCTCGGTGGTTCTATTCAACGTTACCGATAGAGAGGAATTCTCCCAAAAGTCTTAATCTGACGTCGGAGGGGAATTCAATTTCTAAAGGACTTCGTGGTTCACCTTACGGCCTATTACAGAAATATGGGTTCTCAAGACATGGGCTGAACATCCACCAGGCCAAATGATATGCCCCACAAGAAAGCAGGTGGAGCAGTGACCAGTTCAGCACCTGATGAGATGCAGTAGGAGCCAGGCCTGGAGTCAGCCCACAGTGTGTGTAAGCGGACACACCAAGCTCTACCAGACTCTCCCCAAATTAGGCAAGATCAGGTGGCTTGCTGCCATTAGAGAGGGGAATGTTCAACAAGGATGTAGACCAGGTCCTAACAGTCACTGCAAGGGGCATGAATCTGAGGACTATGACCACAATGATGATCGGCAACGGCGTTGAAAGGTTCAGTGTAAAGGAACAGCAGCTGACCAATTGAAGCCAATAGGTCAATCTCCCCACCAACTGTTGAAGACCCCACACAACAGATACCATGTTCCTAGCAAGATTAAGGGCCTTATACCAAACGATTACAGCTTTTTTGGAGTCATTTCTGGAATTATGACATACGGTAAGCATTCTATTGGGTAGAGAAAGTA